TATCGCATGCGATTTATCGTGCAGCCCTACGCCACGCCTAAATGGAGCGTTCTGATTGTGTGGGGGGGGTCAAAAACAGGACAGAAAATAACCTATTACTTCATAACCTATTACTTTTTTTTGGTAAAAATCTTGATAGCATTATAAGTGGACCTCAGAGAACAGTACAAAATTTAAAAAACAGAGTTCATGACCCCTTTAAAACATTTATCTTACATTCTGGAATCAAGATCTGGCCATAGCCTTGATCAACCTTCAAGTAAATTTTGCTTTCGATGTGTGAGGTGTATTTTTGATAATTTTGTGTAAATGGTAATGACACACGTATTTCAAAACAGGTCAGAACTCTGACTTATTCTGTAAATTCTTCAATTGTTGAAGTTCAAAGTGAAAACATGTCTCATTATAATAAAGTGTATTGAGCAGCCCAGTTCATGGTAAACACTTTCAAGGTGTTCCTAGTTTGGATCGCTCATAAAGCACACCAAACAGTGTTTTCTGCCAAAATCGTGCAGGTTTATTGGTCAGAACTCTGACTTATTCTGTAAATTCTTCAATTGTTGAAGTTCAAAGTGAAAACATGTCTCATTATAATAAAGTGTATTGAGCAGCCCAGTTCATGGTAAACACTTTCAAAACATAGTCGAACTATGCCACATAAAAGCAAAGAAATAAAGACAGAACTATACAAAATTATTATTAGTATGTACATTTAGAAATTGAAAATAATCTAAATTACTGTTTGTTTGTTTTCTCTAAATATGCTTTTTATATAAAATAATACTAAATAGTAGGGTACAAAAAAGTTCCTTAATTGAAGAACAGGGTTTCTGCAGGATTTTTAAGTACAAATGTAAGACTTTTTAAGACCTTTTTTAAAGACCTGCACAAATAAAATTAATACCATAAGAGGGCAATGTCTATAGTACCATATTAAATGGTACAATTACTGTAAAAAGCATAATTTACAGTTCAGATACAAGTTTTCACAAAAACAAAGTTTTATAAAATGATCAACTTTACATTTCAGCCTTTAAACCGTTGTTAAGAAAATGGATGAGTCAAGAGCATTAATTATTATATTAAACAATTATTATCAATAAATTATTATATCAATTAAATAACAAATTAGGGGTGTGCGATATTGACAAAAAAAATTATATCTCGATAATATTCTGGGATTTTATCGATAACGATAATTAGATGATACACTGAACAAAATTATAAATGCAACACTTTTGTTTTTGCCATTTTTCATGAGCTGAACTCAAAGGTCTAAGACTTTTTCTATGTACACAAAAGGCCTATTTCTCTCAAATATTGTTCACAAATCTGTCTAAATTTGTCCTCCTAATTTAAAAAAATTAAGGAGCACCTTCTGATCAATGATCAAAAATTAGTCTTCCTAATATGGTGAAGAGGTGAAGTGATTTACAGGGGCATTTTCTTTTTATCTTTGCAATGGCATCATTTTCATCTGTAAAATTCAAAAATTTTATGCTCATTTTTTCCAATTGACGGAAATCCGTCGTAGCGACGGAAAACTTTCATCCCCGAGTAGTATTATGTACATCATACTGCGCCACAGTAATATATTTCTGATAATTTCATTAAGCTAACCCGAACTTATATTTTGACGGATTGCCATGAGGAACTTGTTTCTGTAAACAAGTAAAAAATAAAACTCATTCTGTAGGTCTATGTAAATGATATGAAGATAGTTTTACTCCAATGAAACTGTCAAATGCTCATAAAGTGAGGAGTCAGAGCAGTTCTGGAGATGATGTTCATGTATTTATGTCCTCATGTAGTGAGATGACAGAAGCTGAAATCACCGCGAGCGTCGCAGATTTTGTATGTGTAGAAAACAAAACCACTGGTCTGTACCATTTACATACACAGAGACACGCAGGACATGCTGGATTCATATTTAAATAGTATTTTTGCAGCTTAATATTTACAGATACTAGTCCATATTGTGAATCTATAAGTGTACTGACCTACTTTTGATTCATTCATCCAAACTTTGACAAATTCCGTCAAAGAATTCCATTTATATGACTGGATTACGCGATTCCGTCCGCGTTTTCCGCATTGCAGAAATCATAGATAATATTGAGGTGTTTTGCAACTTCAGTGTAACGTTAGTGGATTGGGATCTATTGCAACGTCTGCTGCTGCCTTACCTTTGAGAGACAACTGATGTGTGATCACTGAAGCAGCTCCAGTTAGCAAGCACTTTTGGAGTGAGAGTGAATTCCGCATTGATTGGTCGGACTCATGACTCCCAACAAATCAGATGAGCGGTGGGCGGAGACTGCTTTAGGCCACAGAGTGGTGAGTTCCAACAGGCTGCATCAGAGCCAAATAGCGCGTTTCAAAATTAAGTTACTTTATCGGCGAATCGGTTTTGAAAATGACCGATACCGATAATCATAAAATGCTTAATATCGGCGCCGATAATCAGTCGACCCCTAATGTGGAGGTCCTGGGCTGGTGTGGTTACACGTGGTCTGCGGTTGTGAGGCCGGTTGGATGTACTGCCAAAGTCTCTGAAACGCCTTTGGAGATGGCTTATGGTAGAGAAATTAACATTCAATATGTGATAAAATTGCACATTTTAGAGTGGCCTTTTATTGTGGCCAGCCTAAGGCACACCTGTGCAATAATCATGCTGTCTAATCAGCATCTTGATATGCTACACCTGTGAGGTGGATGGATTATCTCGGCAAAGGAGAAGTGCTCACTAACACAGATTTAGACAGATTTGTGAACAATATTTGAGAGAAATAGGCCTTTTGTGTACATAGAAAAAGTCTTAGATCTTTGAGTTCAGCTCATGAAAAATGGGGGCAAAAACAAAAGTGTTGCATTTATAAGTTTGTTCAGTATATTTTGCTGAGTATGTTATTGCACTGATATCTTAAGGACTACCGTGGACAGCTGACTCCTGAATTTTTTTATATTCTTCATATTCTGTGTGGTCAGTTCACAGCAGTAATAGAAATAATAATTTCCATCAAGTTTAATGGGCATTTTTACCTTTAAGCCATTTTTTCTAAAAGTGTGCACCATCTTTTGAGTAAAATTCTTGCATTTGGGCTGTTACCAAGCAAATTAAATCAGTATCAACAAAATGTATCTTTGCAATGCAGAGAAAACACAGAAGCTTCATTAGAAGTGTCATTTAGATGCATTTACACACTGTTTAATGCAGCTCTGAGGGACATTAAATATTTTAACCTGCAATTACAAATGCATAATGTTTTGATATTTTAAACATAAAACATTGAAAACTGATGTATGAAAATATATTTAAAAAATCAAAAGGTACCTTAAATGTGAAATTAAAACCGCCAGTAGGCGGCAGCAAGTCACTGTTAGTCATTGCGATTGAATCAAAACATTTAAACGGGTGATTCATTCAGAAACAAAACAGCGTCCTTTTGCTCAGAGACGGCAAAACAGTGCTGTGGCTGTGTTTAAAATTATTTTTGTTGGAGAAATATAGCAAAAACAGGAAATATGGTGTCTAAAACGTAAGTCTCTTAATATTAACTACTTGTTTATTGAACTGTTGTATAAAATTAATATCACATTTGTAATCATGCTTACTTTTGGAGAAAAAAAAAAAAATTAACTATATGAAATTATATATATACATTTTCTGCCCCATATCTTAAATTATGTGATAATTCTAAATGCATTTTAATAGACTGATTCAAGCAGTGAAAGAACGCACTCTAAATGCGTATGCGCACCAATCTAACCTGCTAGACTTCATCACCTAATGCGTACACTCAGTAGGTGTGTTTTGTGTTTGCTTTTTGCGATATACTCTTAATATGAAATTGCACATCACTGAAACAACAATTACGATATTATCGCAGACCATAAATCACACACCCCTATGTTTAGATTTTTATAATGCATTGTCTTCTTATCAATCCACCAGTTCACATTCAAAGCTCTGCGTGTTTGCAGGGTAAAAACACTGGTCGATTTTCGCATTGGTCTGAACTCTGAACAAAACAACAGTTTTATTGAAAATGCTCATTCATTCTCTGCCAGCAGGTGGAGGGTTTGGAAGAAATATAACTGTTTTCCCGGTAACTGCTGTACACAAAGCAGCCAGCACCAGACTTTGAACCTGCAGCGCTCATGTTTATTCAATTAAATCATAACATTAGCCTTTTGAAGTTTAATCGTCACATTCAGCCATATCGCAATTCTGGTCTTTCCGTAGCCAAATTTAAGACCTCTTGAAATCATAATTAAGAGTTTCTTGTAAAATGTAAGACTTTTTAAGGCCCCGCGGAAACCCTGGAAGAATCACATATCTGCTTCATCACACGCATTTTATTAACAGTACATTACTACGGTCTAACACTGTTATAGGATCTAAGATGCTACATGCATTAAAGTTTTTTTTTTTTTATGAAAACACTCTAGTGCAAAACGTATATGTTTAGAAATGCTCATTCATTCTCTGCCAGCAGGTGGAGCGTTTGGTAGAAATATAACCATTTCCCCGGTAACGCTGTACACAAAGCAGCGGACTTTGAACGTGCAGTGCTCGTTTATAGCCTTTTGAAGTTTAATCATCACATTCAGCCATATCGCAATTCTGGTCTTTCCGTAGCCAAATTTAAGACCTCTTGAAATCATAATTAAGACTTTCTTGTAAAATGTAAGACTTTTTAAGGCCCAGCGGAAACCCTGGAAGAATCACATATCTGCTTCATCACACGCATTTTATTAACAGTACATTACTACGGTCTAACACTGTTATAGGATCTAAGATGCTACATGCATTAAAGTTTTTTTTTTTTTATGAAAACACTCTAGTGCAAAACGTATATGTTTAGTTTCAAACTTACAGAACCCTAATTAGATGTAATCACTGCTTACATAATCTGAATACCATATGAGGAACTGAGATTAATAATATATTTATGCCATTTGTGCACGTCAACTCAATATCAAAGACACACACACACCTTGCTTCTCTCATTCTCTGATCTCTGCAGTCTATTTCTGAAGTTCTCATCAGCCTCCGGGGTTTCGGCGTCATGTCTTCTCAAAGCCTTTGAGGACAAAGAGTACAGCAGACATGGAAAAAAAGATTAGCAGCCTTTCTGTTAACCTCCCCTACTCCACTAACTAGCACTATAACAGATGGATGGATAGATGGCTTTTCTCAAACCCTGGGAGGAAATTGAGCACTTGTGTTTTTCTGCCAGTGCAATGTGGTTACTTATTGACTCAATTTGTCTTTTTGTATCAAGCATATGTAATGATATCGGCAGCAGGTTTGCAAATGTACTGGCATTTTGAACACCATACTGAAAATATACTTGCAAATTAATTTAGTAAGAAAGCATCTACAAAAGAATATGAGTGTAATGTGCACACAAAAGTAAAATGTATTCAGTAATAAAAGGCAAATAAAGTTTTTGTTTATTATTGGACAGCCTTTTTGAATGTGTGCAATAGAATAGAGTAGAGTAGAGTAGATTAGAGTAAGAATAGAATAGAATAGAATAGAAGAGGTAGTGAGTGGAGGTCTTGTGCAAAACCCAAAACCACAATGCTATATTCTGTTCTCTAGAAATGGTTCATGTTTCCTCCTGTAAACAAACACCGAAGAAGAGTATCCTGAGAGAGAAGAGAGTGGATGCCAAGTTCTTGTTATCTTTGGTATCTGAGAACAGATTTATTCTCACATGTTCTTAATATAATTTCTATTAATTATGCACTGAATTATGTGATCTGGAGTGTCTGTTTTCTCCCACGTGTGCGAGTCAGAGCACGTTAACTCTAGATTTAAAAAAAATAATAAATGGAGTGAAATATATTTGTACTCATGAAATATGAAAGCAAACAGACATGATTATGACGATATATATTCTGTATGTGTTTTGTATGTAGCTCATGGTATTTTTATAACAATGAAGGATGTTTATGACGATAAGCAGTGTGGCGTTATTAAACATGGAAAGAGTGCTTGTCTGCCTATTATAGAATCAAAATCAACTATAGATCACAATCGGAAGTTATTACAAGCACTTGAGGATGGTTTAAAGTGGGTTTTAAGCAAAAACAATAATTAACGTACATACATTTTTTAATGTGGCTTGATCGGCGCCACCTAGCGTGCAGGCGTGAATTAGCAGAAGACAATCAATTGTTTCGCGCTCGGTGTGAAAGCAACATTCGTCTGCGATTCACCTCGCTTTTTCATATCGCGCTCAGTGTGAAACGGCCTCAAGTCTACTGGTGTTTTTTCACCCGTTTTATTGTCCATTAAGCAAAAATAATAATAATAATAATTAATTAATTAAATATCACAATTCTGATTGCGTAGAAAAGTAATGCAAAAACATCTCAAACTCATTCTTGTCTAGAGCACAAAAAGCGTAAGCACCACTAAAATTAAATTGCTTATACTGTATATTGACTGTCAGTAATTAAAGCCACAGGGTTTGTTCCAAAGCCATAAACCTTTGTATAAGCAGTTGCATCATGCTTGCCTTAAAAAGCACCACTTATTAGTATGCAGTAGACCACTGATTGCATTTATATGAAATGTACTAGTTGAGTTTGAAAAACAACTGGGCAAACTTATACTAAAGTACATTTAATTCACTTTGTCAGATTTTAAAGTAAAACCCTTTAAGTTGTAATGGTAACTAACATATATCATGTGCCACATGCCATTACCATTTAATGCGAAAACCCAGCATGTGTGATTCCAGCATGCATTTGGAGCACAAAATGAATTTGCTGAATGTGTTTTTGTAAGAAACAGCTGGAATGCTATTTATCAACGGAATGACAACTATAAGTGAGATGCATAATTATAGAAGGGGAAACATAATTAATATGATTCATTTTATCATAGTCAGTGTACAACTAAAAAAAAAAATTCACATTAAAGGTGCCGCCCAGCCACAAACAATGCAACTGATGCCATTGAATCATTTGCTGCGTCCCAATTCGCCTACTTATACTATATATCCAAATGGGATATATCGCCCTCCAAAGGGCACTTCGGAGTGAAAACAATCATGGCCACCATATTGAAGGGTCATTCCAAACCGAAGTGCTCAAAACTGGCCACTTCAAAGGGCCCTTCGGAATGAAGGATTTCGAAGGGTACAACTGATGGACACTTCGGGCTCCCATGATCCTTTGCACAGATTTTTTGCATGATGACGGTGCCTCCGTGTGGGCACGTGATGATGGCGCAGAAGGGCACTTCAAGAAACAGTTGTTTGGTCTCCTACACCCCTTCAACCCTTCAAAACTCTCACTCCGGAGGGTAAACCCATTGAAGGGACTAGGGCATTGGGATGAGCCCTTCCGAATGGAACGCAGGGAGAGTGTGCATCGATCTGAACTTCGAATTCTAACTGGAAGTAGTAGACCATCCGGAAATCTTTGGCATACTTTTTTTAAACATACTATGATTTGGGACATACTAATTCTATTTTCGAATACTATTTAGGACGGATAGTATGCGAATTGGGAGCAGCAAGAGTCTTTATGTTAGGTATGTGTTTTGAGGAAGCATTCCTTAGCCTAAAATCACTTTGTAAAATGCTGCAGTGACATCATTCACTGCTCTAACAGAGGTCTTGATTATATGGGTGTGTAAAAGAGCAGCACAATGTTTTTCTTAACAGCTCTTTGGTGACTAAGTGTTTGTTTATCTGTCCTGATTTGCTTGTCTTGTTTGTTTCTCGTAATTTCGCAACAAATGCATTATTTCTCTAGGCCTAAGGCACAGCCTTTTCATTAGCAAACTGCAATGGAGAGAAGATGCAAATTAGGCTCCATTCATCAGTCACCTCTCAGATAAATAGGGCAATTGTTAATGGAAGGCAAACACAGGCAGATACTGCCCCCTGCTGGTAGGAGCACAGCATGAACCTGCTCTAAAGTTACTGTCAGATCACTGTTTTTAACAATGATTTCCCCCTGATAACACATTAAGCTGAAATGCAGAGACAAATGACAGCAAGTGAGTGTTGCAACAAAAATCCATCTTCAAGAGGCCATATCATATGTGTATGTATATACATAAACAGTATATATATATATATATATATATATATATATATACACACACATACATATATACACACTGTTTATGTATATACTGTACATACACATGATATACACTGTGTTTATATATGTATATATATATATATATATATATACATATATATATATATACAGTGGGGCATACATATAAAGTATATATATATATATATATATATATATATATATACACACACATACATATATACACACTGTTTATGTATATACTGTACATACACATGATATACACTGTGTTGAGATGTGTTGATGCCATGAAATTTAAAATCAACTTATTTTTCCCTTAAAATTATACATCTGATATGTCATCTATGTTGTATTCTGAATAAAATATTGAAATTTGAAACTTCCACATCATTGCATTCTGTTTTTATTCACAATTTGTACAGTGTCCCAACTTTTTTGGAATCGGGTTTGTATATATTTATTTATTTATTACCTGATTTTCCCTTATTTTTGATTGGTCGTAATTTAGTTTTCTAAACTAAAACCTTTTATCAAAACTTCAAATAACATGTCAAATAACAGTGTGTATTTTGACAATGCCTCATGAAATGAAAAACAGTGCTTTACTCCATTACGACATGGGTTTCGCAAAACCATCCTTCAAAAGCATTGTGCTGTGTTTACAAAACAATTCATGCTGAAATGGGGGGGGGGGTTTGACTACAATGATCATTGTCCCTAGATAAACTTCAGCCGGCGATTCATTTTATACAATGAGATTCTTCGCAAAGACTTGCAGAGTGATAGGTTCTACGTAAATGGACCTTTTGGACTCCCGAGTTCTGAAGTTACAGTATAATTACAAGGTACATCAACTACTTTCAACTCAGAATTTTAAGAAAAATGTTATCTGTAATGACATGACCCCTTTAAAATATTAGCAAATAAATAACAATATGCAGTTTGCATTAGTCCCTACCTCCTGCAGTTCACCAGACATGCTTTTTGGCTTCTCTCTGTGATGTCTTTCAGAAAGCACCTGCCGCCCTGTGCGCATCTCATCCTCGATCTCCTGTAGACGTCTCTCCACCCGTAACGAAACCTAAGACACATAGCACAGGTCAAAACTGACTCTGTTGAGCTATTGGACCTTCATTAAATCTTAAGCCCTGCTCAGCTGGAGCAAGGTGCTGTTATTCCGTATATCATGTTCTGTACCACAGGTCTCCTTAGAAACTGTATTCTACTTACAGCAAGACAGAAGAGAGGTCCTAATTTAAGCCTAGCACAGCCATTTCATTACTACAGGAAGCAAGAAAACTGGTCACAGGCAGCCATCAGCTAAAAGATATAAAAGTGAACACAACAAGCTATATACTGTATTATCAGCAGCACTTACGGGTTCTTCTTTCTGTGATGCCTTTATGTGGCCTGCAAGATTCTCCAGTGTCTTCTTGGTTTCTATATCAGTTCTTTTGAGGGGCAGAAAGAACAAAACATAGTGTGTATATGTGCAGTTTCATACAAGCAATTTATTATCAGCAATAAACAATAAGCTTTTCGACAGGTTGAAACATTAAAGTACCTGTTTCTTCTCCTGATCTCTCTATCAATGTCATCCCCAGTCCGAAGCTGATCACTCTGCAGGTCTCTGAGGGACTGATGCAATGAGTGAATCTGAGAAACACAGGGAATTAGATTTTAATATAAGTGGTGCTTACTTGTGCTGGGGTGTTGTGGGTGCTTGCCATAGTGTTGCTATGGAGTTTGTAAATAGTTTTGAGTAGTTGGTAGAACATTATTTTTGAGGTTGCTCTAGTGCTCTGGTTGGCTACTAAGGCACTGCTAGCTTTGTAACGATGTGGATGCTAGCCAGACACTGGAGTTTTCCAAAGTAACAATCTTTATTAACAATAAACCAAACATGCAGGAGAGCGCTAGAGTATTCACACAATGTGTCAATGATAACCGACTAATACAAATGAAAACACAGGGCTATACACACATAAAGGCAAAGCAAGCTATACAACAAACTATATATAAAAAAACAATTGATAATCATGAGTAACTATAGAAACAAATGAGAATTTCAGTTTGTTTTACCTTTAAAACCCACCTTGACTAAACATCCCACATTAGCAAATTTAGAAATAGTATACCCTGATAAGGTAACCAAGGCAGGTCCAACAGTAGGACACTATAGCATTTTTTGTTAGGATCATCATTGGGCAGAACATTAACAAAACTTAACTGTAATAATTTATTGTAAATATATATATATTACAAACAACCAGCTAAAGGTGTAGGAACATATTCACTTCATCTCATATAACGATTTGAGCACAATTTGGCAGCTATACAAATTAATAGATTTATATTAATATTTAATTATATTGATGTATTTTATATCTAAAATTGTATATCTACATATTTTTTTTAACTAAAATAAATGAAACTAGAAAAAAAAATACTGAAAAGCTACAAACTAAGCCTACAGTACAAATCACAGAGTAAAAAATGAAAACTAAAAATGTTTACTATTGTTACTAGTGTACACATATGAATGTGCACATATACATTAGGGGTGCAACGGTTCAACTTACTCACGGTTCGGTTTGTATCACAGTTTTACAGTCACGGTTCGGTGGGTGCTATGTTTAGGGAAAAAACTATATTGTCAAATAAAAATAAAGAAAATAACAAATAATCTTACTACAAGCAACAGCACAAATAAATAAACAGTGAAAAAAAACATACAAATAAAATAAACAGAGCTTTTCAGTTTTTTTAGGTAGGTCTAACATAGTTTTTAGGTACAGAAATTGAATAAACCAAATGTAAAATAACATTGCATATTTGACTGTATACATTAAAGATTAATCCTTATTAAATTTACAAAAGTTATTCAATCAAGAGCAGTGAGAGATTTCCTGTTGTTGCTGTTTGATTAACATTAAGAAAGTGCTGTCAGGATACTCACCAAGACGGGCATTTTGACCATTTTTGTGAGAATTTGTCCATTCAAACACAATACTTCACAGAGAGCTTAATATTTGCACGCGTTGTGAGACGCGGGTTCACGTGCTTCGGATGAGCGACCACACACATCTTCTTACTGCGCGCGCAAGTTCAAGTCTTCTGGCTCTTAAATATTTAAACTGGCAAAGCTTAAATTAGTTTAGTTTAAACACAGACAGCAACGTGTGCTATTCAGGTCTCACCTGCGCTATCAACACGTGATGACGGCATAAATGAGTTATTCCAGCATAAAGCACTCGCATTGATTAAAGAGTGACTGGTTTGTCCACGTATTGTATTTGTTCTCTCTCTCATCGTTCTTCTTGTAATGTATTGGGAAGCCAGAATTTGTATCCATCAACAAAAATATGCATTAGCCTAACTCTAACAAGCCATATTACAGATGCATTCAGATTTAAGTTGAACCGCGGTCCCAGTGTATGCCAAACCGTGTGTGGAGAACGGTACGGTTCGATTTTTTACCGAGAACCGTTGCACCCCTAATATGCATGTACACATACACAAATCACAGCATGAACTGTAATACATATAAAATACACACACAATAAAAAAAGGCAGAAGTGATGTATGATTATTAAGTCATCATGGAGACATAATCAGCAGCCAAGCTGTCAAAAAATATTGTCTCTGATGAAGCCATTTGTGGACTGTGGAAAAAAGTCAACATTCACTCAGGCTCCCAGACACTGTTATCATGGCATGGATCTTGTGTGACTGAAGAACTAAAGCAGATATTTAGGCTGGCCAGTAATCGTTGCACCCCTAATATGCATGTACACATACACAAATCACAGCATGAACTGTAATACATATAAAATACACACACAATAAAAAAAGGCAGAAGTGATGTGTGATTATTAAGTCATCATGGAGACATAAGTCAGCAGCCAAGCTGTCAAAAAATATTGTCTCTGATGAAGCCATTTGTGGACTGTGGAAAAAAGTCAACATTCACTCAGGCTCCCAGACACTGTTATCATGGCATGGATCTTGTGTGACTGAAGAACTAAAGCAGAGATTTAGGCTGGCCAGTAACATGGTACATATTGTACAACACTGAAATGTGGCAACCTGTATAATATCTGCTATAATGTTTATATCAATAGGGTGTTTTTAATATTCAGACACCAAGCAATGAATTGTGTACTCTGCAAACCGTGATTCCTTTATTTTAGTGGAAACGGTTTAGTTTCGAAATGTTCATGACAGCTGTTTGCAGCAGCAACTTGCCACACTAACTATATAATTCAACTGATGTGTGCTCATACTTCATATATATTTACAGAAGACTGTTATATTGTAAATTTAGTCATGACTAAACACGTTTTCACACTGATCCTGCAGAAGTGTATGACCGTAACCCATTTAGTCAAGACTACATTATACAGCATAACCTTGACTGTCTTACTGCATTCATATAAGTTACTACATATAAAATACATACATTTTACTAAAATGTTATTCTAATAAGCGAATTCTTGTGCTAGAAGATATCTAATACTACAGTTCCCGATGTAACAAAGTGATGCTATGCAGCATAAAAAAACAGCTATGGGAGCTGCCCTAAGCTTTGAACCTAACAACGCCTTTTAGGTTTAACTATACACACAGCACAGCCTCAATCATGTTAGTACTTTTATAAAATGGTTAATACATTAAAGAAAAACTATATATAAAATAAAATAAAAATTTTACCATGTTACAAGGTTATACCTTGACAGTTACTAATAAATTATACACACTTGCAGGACAACAGTGCATATAATGCTAAACATTTCTAATTGGCCAGCTACAAACATGACTTCGACAACCATATTTATAATCTATCACTGTTTTGTTTTTAAGTAAAATGTTATATATTGTGCAAAAGGTTCCCCACATATTCTCACTAATGATCTTTCATAACATTTTCATGACATTTACATCCATAATTACTAGATAAAACATTTCAAAAGAAATTGCACTCAATTACCAATATAGAGTATAACTACTGTAGTAAAATAGACAACTAGTATTTACTATACCATCCTGGGACCCAGGAATAGACTTTTGTTCTCTGTAGTGGACATTATAATATAGTGAATTTCTCAGAGACCATACATGCCACAGTTTTAAGTGTGAAGGTCCTGTACAGAGCACATTCAGGGCGTTTCAGAGATACCAAATGTTTGGAAGTTTCACCATGACCACTCCCTTTCCTTGGTCTTTAAACATGGCTGACATTAGTTTAGTGATCAAATGTAACACTCTTATTGGAAATATGATCATATTTTGTAATTATCATTTCAATCTGACTAAGTCTTAAACTGCTGGTCACAAATCAACATCTCAGGAAAATGTTATGGGGTTTGAAATCAAAATATGACTTTCGGTTATGAAACAGGACATCGATTTCATACATGTCCCCTAGGGGTAGCACGTAAAACAAACAGGGTTCGGCTAATATATGTTTCTGTTGATGGATGCGCATTCTGGCTTCCCAACAACAGCGATGAAAAAAAAGCGTGGACAAACCATTCACTCTTGTTCAATGGGAATGCCGTATGCTGGAATATCAGTATTTATTCCGTCATCACCTGGGTGCTGATAGCGCGCGCGCACAGGTGAGACCTGAACAGCACACGTTGATATCTGTGTTTAAGCTAAACTCATTTAAGCTTTGCCAGTTTAAACATTTAAGAGCCAGAGGGCGCAAACTCGTGCCTCAGAACCAACGCACGCAAATATTAAGATCTCTCTTAAGTATTGTGTTTAAATGGACAAATTCACACAAATATTATGTAAAAATGCCCGTCTTGGTGAGTATCCTATAGAAGACATAGCCATCTGAACGTACTGGATCAGTGCATTTTCTTAAAGTGACATCACTTTCTTAAAGGGATCATATGACGATGCTAAAAAGAACATTATGTTGTGTATTTGGTGTATTGCACTGTGTTTATGCAGTTTAAGGTTTAAAAAACAAATTATTTTCCACATGATGTACATTATTGCTGCTCCTCTATGCCCCGCCTTTCTGAAACGCCTCGATTTTTACAAAGCTCATTGTTCTGAAAAGCAAGGTGTGCTCTGATTGGCCAGCTATCCAGTACTTTGTGATTGGCTGAATACCTCAAGGGTGTGACGGAAATGTTACGCCCCTTAACACACTGTGATGCCATCTCCCGGCATGGTGAGACAAAACCAATAAACCCCATTACAAATGAGGCATTTGTTGCATCCAGTGGGGACATAATTACTGATTATAATGACTTATACTGTGTTTTTACGCGTTGCGTATCGCGCCGCGTAAACATAAAATCATGTCTGCATTTGTGATCGGAGAAACAACAAACAACAAGCACTACTCGATTGTTTGAATCATCAGTGGCAAATTCTTTAAATATAAAAAATGTTTTTACAGGCTGTGAGTTAGAAGCGCCAGACTGTCCTTGCAAAGTTGGAACTGCCCCACTTTATAGAACAGCCTTTGAGCACAGACCCATTTGTATGCTACTCTGCAGGTTCAGGAAACAGTCTTCCATAAAATGCATCACACACGACGGGCTTGAGTAAGCGGAGGCCGGCAGCCTTGAGAACAGCGTGGCCAGCGTGCGTGCGGCAACCACATGTGATGACCCCGGACTGGACTCCGCTTC